AAATGATTTATCAATACTATAGACCCTAATTTCTCCCCTACAAAATAGATTCTTCTCTTTACTCTTTAGATTTTCAACCCTTTCTTCCTATTGAACATAGGTCATGAATGAACAAAGTTATAAAGTTTATAGCAACATGAACCTATCACTTGTAGTTTCAAACCCAAATATCAAACACGATCTAAATTTAGTAATGAATCCAGAACTTGGGTTCCGCAAGGAACCAAGAAACTAGGTTCGAGGAACCTAGATCTGGGTTCCACAAATCTAGCACATGTGTTTCGCGAAGAACCCAACAATTGGGTTCTGCAAAGAATCCAAGATGATGAAGAGGATGGCAAATAGGATGGTGAAGATAAACAATGACATGATGATGCCAAGGATGAAGATGAGGACGAGGATAAGGATGAGGAAAAAGAAGAAAATAAAGAAATTAAATTTAATCCTGTTTAAAGTCATTTAATTCATGAATTAGAAGTAAAATTTTTAAATTGTATAGGTAGCCCAAAATATTTAGATGAAATGCTTACATGGACTTATAATTTTATTCACGTAATTTTCACATCATTTATAATATCATTTATATAAAAAAAATAATCAAGTGATTCCATTAATGAACGTGATAGATCAGCAAAAATTTAATAGAGAGATCAAAAAGGGGCTAGATTTTAAACTTTAGAAATTAAAAAAGGGCTTTTTTAAGTATAAGGACCAAAAAGTGGCTCTTTTTTTCATAATAGAGAACCCAAAAAGGGTATTTAACCAAACAAAAAACAAAAAACAAAATGAAAAAGTAATCCATCCTTCGGACGCCAATGCATTTGACCATATATGCCAATTATTTAGAAGAAATATTTTAATTTGTCTCTATCACATGTTAAGAATTTATTTATTCTATATTTTTATTATTAATTTATACAAAAAATGAAAATTAATTTTAATTTTATTAATTATTTAATTAAAATATTTTATGTAATATTGCTGTTAAAAATAACATTTACTTTTTATAATTTTTTATATAAATTAATAATAAAAATATATAATAAATATACTATTCACGTACATACACCCTTATGGCGCCATGTTAGAAAACACTTAAAGTAAAGACTATTTTTTTTTTTATACTAATTCCTCGGTATCCAAAAACCACATTGAGTCCTAACTAATTCGGAGTCGAGTCGGGTAGAACCCCATATGGGGGGAAGCTCTCCCAACAGTTGTTTTTCCATTCACAAAACTCGAACTCAAAATCTTGCTTAAGAGGAATCGAGCTCCTTCCACTCGAACCAACAAATCGTTGGTTAAAATAAAGACTCTTTGGTGGCGTGAATACCCCTATTTGGTGCCATTAAATTGCTAGGTCGAGACACAAACGTTTTCAAATTAGCAAGACTTTTCACATTAAAAGAACAAAAAACTGTCATTGTATAATCCTTTATATATTAGCTCTGAATTATGGCCCATGGTATTGCAACTTAAATATTTTAATAAAAATAAAATAATATATTTTATAAATTAAATTTCTTGTCCTATTAACGAGTTGGTCAAACTAACCATTATAGGTTAATTGTCCTATTTAAGGACATATTATTACATAATAATTGTCAATTTATTCTTATCATTAACCTACAAATTAGAGTTATATGACCATGAGTCCTATAATAGGACACATCTTTTTGCTCGACTAAGTATGTTCCTCCACATTCTTTTATATATTTTTCTTACCTTTATTTTTAAATATTCTTAGGTAAAAAAAGGTGTTTTGAATTAGGTGACTATGAGTAGTGCACATTCATAGAATGTTGTTATAAAACTATAGCATCCTAGAGAAGACATACTATGCACATCTTTACTACACTAGTTGATCTACTTTTCGCAAAAGTATGAATCGCCTTAAAAAAAATAAGCTTTTCATGCCTAATTTGATGATATTTTTTATTGATATTTTTTTATAAATTCACTAATTATTATTTTTATTTAATTTTGTGACCGAAACATAACAATAATATGAGGTGGAGATGGCAAAGAATGTTTGAGGAACAACAATTTTAAGACATTTCAATATGCAAAACAAAAATTGAAACATTTGCCACTTTGTATAAGCAAAATAAAAAATTTTGATTATCTTGAATATAGACAGTGATAGCACACTCCAATTCAACACCTTGTACAATACACTCATTAAAAAATCATTATTTTTTGGTTTGAAATTAAAGACAAACAAGTTTATAGATACAATCATGCACACAGGATGTAGGAATCGGTTGAATCAACCATATTTATATTATATTTTTAATGATTGAATTGAAAGTGTGTCAAAAAATGCATTGAACCGAGGGTGTACAGATCATTTTCCCTTGAATATATATGCTCCAAGCAAGTAAGAAATGAATTCTTTAGGTTTGTTGAAAATACATGCAAACATCTCTAGCCAATTGTAAGTTTTATGTTGCCAGTTGATTATAGTGATTAGTGTGTCATAGTTATTCTTGCATGATATGAGAAATTCTCAATGGCTAGGAGAGAAAAAAAACCGTTAGGGCATTCTACTTTCATTTTTTAATGTCTCAAAGTATATGCGTATATATGATTGCTCCACATATCTGATAATATTTTTTTAATTTTCAATGACTATAATATGTAAACTTTATTCATTTTATATGATAAATGCATGTATATTCATGTGAGAGTTTTCCCATAATATTGAGTATTATGATGCTAGCTATTTGAATTAAATCTAATCATGGGTAAAGCTTATGTTTTAATATGAAATTTTGATATAAAAACTTTATAAATTAGAAGTGCTTTTTTATTATGTAATGTATGAGTATTAATATACACCATTCATATATAATTAACTGGTGATTATTATTTTTCAATGGTAAAAACAAAAGTTGGAGGAAAATTTATGATCATAGTTCAAGGTCTAATGCTCATCGAAGAGAATGGGACTCAAACCCAATAATGTAGAACCTATTATGAGGATACCTAGCTTGAATTCCAAGAATTGGGTTTTGAATGGGAAAAACGAATCATAGAAAAGCCATTGCTAAAAGATGCATCAATATTTAATAGAAAAATTTTTAGTTCCATTCCTAAGGTGAGGATGCATTTATCTTATAACAAATTAAGGGTTGAGTTATATACTCTTAATGAAATTTGTAGCTGAATGAATGAGGTGTCTTAGTTATGAGAGCACCCTTAACAAATTTCACCTATATAGGTGTTGAAGTGAGGCCGCTTCTATAAAAATTGGATGAGCAATTCTCTAGATCACCCATGAAAATCAAGATCATGCGTAAGGCCATAATGTGCCAACTATGTGAAAAAAATCAACATTTGGATCATTATGTGTATAATACGATTCCTGTATCTTCCTACGAAGTTATAATTCAAAACTTAGTTCACTATTGACTTTGGATTAAGAATTGTTAACTTATTAAGTAAAGGTTCAAGGCTTAACTACCTTTATCATGCATAATAATACATCTTAGCCCAAAAGAAGGGTTTATTTTTTATTAAAATTATGGGGGACTTGTTGGAATTTAAATATTTTAATAAAAAATAAAATAATATATGTTATAAATTGAATTTATTGTTCCATTAAGGACTTGTTTAAACTAGTTATTATAGATTAATTGCCCTACTTAAGGGCACATTATTACATAATAATTGCTCAATTTATTTCTATCATTAACTTACAAATGAGAGTTATATGAGCATGAGTTCTATAAAAAGGGCATGTCTTTTTGCTCAACTATAAATAGGACATGTCTTTTTACTCAACTAAATGTGTTTCCCCACATTCTTCTATTTTGCTTACTTTACTTTATCTTCTAAATATTCTTGCGTAAGAAAAGGTGTTTTGAGTTAAGTAACTTTATGAGTAGTGCAAATTCATAAAGTGTTATTATAAAGCTATAATATCTTGGAGGCGATATGTTATGTACATCTCTATTGCATCGATTGATTTACTCTCTGTAAATATGTGAATCGTCTTAAATTAAATAAGTTTTTCACGCTTAATTGGATGATTTTTTTTTTTGGATATTTTCTAATAAGTTCACTAATTATTATTTTTTATTTAATCTTACAATTAAAGACACAACAATAACATGAGGTGAAGATAGAGAAAAATGTAAGAGGAACAACACCTACTACCATATAATCTGCCAAATTAAGGAGGCATTTAACATTAGAAGAACAAAAACATTTTCATTATATAATCCTTTGTATTATACTCAACTTAGTAGCTTTAAATTAGGCTTAAGTATTGGAAAAGGACCCCAACTTTTACCAACTTCTCAATGGAGGTCCTCAACATTTATTATGCTTAATCAAGGTCTCCAACTCATGCAAACTCTCAAATAAGGACCCAATTGGATGGAATCCTAACCATTTGTTAAGTCTAACTAACCATTCGTTAAGTCCAACTAGCCATCCATTGAGTCTAACATGAGGCTCATTATAATTTGTTACACCCCTCAATATGTGGCATGCCAACTGGACCCATCATGCTGACAGTAAAAAATTGTCCAACATGGCATGTTGTGGCGAATCTGTCCCTCCACAGACTAGGTGGGTCCCACAAGACTCCTTTCTCCACTTCTCCTTTCTCATCTTTGACTATTTAATACTTATTTAATATAGAAACCCTAAAGGTTTTGTCTGTAACTAGATCAATGGAAAACGACTTTTGAGAATTCAAAATTTCAATTTAAGGCTTTTATTGGTTGGTGGGATCTTTTAAACAACTTTTCTTTATATTTCTATGTGGATTCAACAGCATACATGTATGATCATGTTGTTTTACTTGAGTTGTTGAATGATTTTAATATTTTTATTAATTTTTGAATTTATTTTCTAATTTAAACTTTTTGTCTCAATT